ACTAACCTATTTATTTTTGCATGAGCTTTCATGCTAAAATTAACCAGTTAATCTTAAAGTACCACGCAGCTCTTTGCTTTCCTCTTCTTTTTATACTGAAACATACCAACATCACTATCAGAAAAAAATGAACCCATTTCTCCATTCAACCCAAACACCAACAGATTGTTTTGCAAATGTGCTGGACTACAACTAGAATACTCATCTGCTGGCTGTGGATGATGGTAGCTCCACTCCAGCACATCTGGAAAGCAGAAGGTTTGGGAAGGCTGCTCACCTCCACTCCTCCTTGGTCCTTTGGTGTATTTACTCTATTCTCTGTCAGGAAATTTATTATAAACCTTTCTTGAGAATGATGCAATCTACCCAATTCTCTCACCTCTCCAGATTGGGATTTTCTTCCTCCCTGGCCTTTTATGTGTGTAGCTTTTAAAGCCTTTACAACTGCTTACCAAGTAACGTTATTAGAGGAGTTGAATAGCTACCTACAATTGTGAGCTAAAAATAGACCCAAGGAGGTGGGTTTGTAACATACGGTATGGAACAAGACACTTTGCGGTGAAGTTGAGAATTTCTTTCCCGTTGTCTGATTCACCCTAGTAATTACTTTCTCATTATAATTTTATCGAGAGCGTTGATATAGAGGCTGTCAGTTGCTGAGAAGTTTTTGCTGAAAAATGAAAGAGAGGAGTGGTGGTACTCGCTTGGGGTGTGTGTGTGTGGAAAGGAAGTTATTATGTCACAAACATTTGAAGAGTTTATTAAGTAACATTCTAATTTTTGAAAAGTCATTGAGTATGTTGAAGACCCTCTGTTTGCCATATGGTGTGAAGAGGCAACCATGAAGGAAAATGGCTGTGACCTGTAGATCTGTTACTGTAAGAGCTGAAGGAGAATTATCCAGAAGCTTTGGCCCAGAAACCATTAAGCTCAAGCAAGCCGGCCACATAGACTGCTAAAATTTTCCCCAAGCTCCAGAAAGTGAGAAAAATCATCCAGTTAGTGAAAAACCTAGGCCTTCTGCCCTGTTCTGGTCCTTCAGATGAAATGATCCAGTACATTCCATATGTACTGCTTAGCTATGGCTGCTACAGAAATAATGCAGTTTGACACTGCTTTAACTGCCAAGGTTCAATGCTATGGAATCCTGGGATTTGTAGTTTGTTGTGGTATCAGTGCTCTCTGACAGAGAAGGCAAAATATCTCACAAAACGACACATCCTAAAATTCCATAGTAATGAGCCATGGCAGTTAAAGCCATGTCAAGCTGTACTAATTCTGCAGTGTAGATGAAGCCTATGATATTAATAAACAATATATTCCAGGTACATGTTTCACTGAGAAACAAGTTAAACATGCACAATTGTATAAGAATGTCTTGATTTTGAAAATAATTTATATATTTGACTGAAACATGGAGGGCTGAGGTCAGACTGGTATTTTGGAATAGTGTCTCTCTGTCCAGTTTGCCCAACGAACTGTGTTTCATTCCACTGCTTGCTTTTGTACTTTGAATCCTGAAAGGAGTTGTTGTTGTTTTTCTGTGGCTTCAGCTCAACTCTGGCTTATGGCAAGATTTATTCAGAGGAGGTTTGCTACTGCCTTCTGCTAAGGCTGAGAGAGTGTGATATGCTCAGGGTCCCCCACCAGTGGGATTTCATAGTTGAATGGGGATTTAGCCCCTGGTCTCCTGGATTCCTAGTCCCATATTCAAACTATCACACTGGCTCCCCGAAAGAGATATTTTTGGTTTTCTTCCCATTAGGCTGGTGTAGCCATTTTCAGTTTTACAACCTTGCATCCTCCAGCTGCTCCAGGCCATTTGGGAGCCATCAATGTCCTGGACCCAATTCTTGACAAGTGTCCAGCTGAGGGACACCTCCATACACCCCGGAGCAGCTGCAGATAGATGAGCCACAAGACAAAAATGGATTCACTGCACCACCAAATCAATGCAATATAGTCACCAATTCCCTCTGTCCTGGCCTGGAGGTCATATCTCTGGTGCTGCTGAAGCTCAAATGCAGCCCAAATAGTTGCATATGTCCTTGTGATCCTGTTCCTGTGCAGTGTTATATGCATCTATATGCATAGGAGAGCATCTGCTTTTTTAGCAAGCTGTGCTACATGTGAGTCTCAGTACACAGCTTGACTCCTGCTCTGACTACAAATGCAAGATTGAATCCAATTTCCAGTTATAGACTGATCAGGGTGACTGACTGAGATGCTGAGAAGATGGAATAGCTTTGCATCTTCTTTGGATTTATATGCAAAGCACCAACGATAGGCACACGGGATCTATAAAGGTAACACCTTGATTGACTGGTGGTATTGACTTTATCACAAAACCTAATGACTTGTAAAAGGTCACGGTTATATCACCACTTGGAAAAATTCCTTTTTGGGACTACATATCACAGAATGCCCCCAGTCACCAGCCATGCTGGCTGAGTGGTTCTGTGAGTTGTATCCAAAAGGAGAGAACATTTCCATGCTCTGGGTTGTATATAGCACATCTCTCTGGACTTTGGAGGGCACAGTGACTTCCAAAAATAGAGATGTCCCTAACATGAAGTAAAATGAAGCAGACACCTGAGATGGTCATTTCCAGTGAAATGAAAAGGGGTCAACTCACCTGCTTTTAAAATTATGCTTATTCTGAGGTCTCCACTTCAGTTTTCCAAAAGTGAATTTGAATGTTGGTGTCAAAATGTCTCACTCAAACAGCTCATGGAATCATAGCATTTGAAGTGGCCATAAGGGCCAGCTAGTCCAAGTCTCCACTATGCAGGAATACATAAGTATATTATTTCTGAAAGATGCCTTTCCAACCTCTCTTTGAAGTTCTGGGGAAGAGGAGACTAAGAGGTGACATGATAGCCATGTTTAAATATTTAAAAGGGTGTCCTATTGAAAAAGAATCAAGCTTGTTTTCTCCATGGACAAGGACAAGGCACAGTGGATTCAAGGTACTGGAAAAGAGATTCCACTTCAACATTAGGAAGAACTTCCTAATGGTAAGAGTTGTTTTACAGGGAATACATTGCCTTGGAGAGTGGTGGAGTCTCCTTCTTTGGAGATTTTAAAACAGAGGCTGGATGACTATCTGTCGGAGGTGCCTTGATTCTGTCTTCTTACATGGAGGGGGTTGGACTGGATGGGCCTTGTGATCACTTCCAACTCTAGTATTCTATGACTCCTCCTTCCACTGTCAAACAGCTCTTACAGTAAATAAATTCTTCCTAATATTTAGGTGGAATCTCTTATCTTATAATTTGAATCAATTGGTTTGTTCCTAGTCCCTGGAGCATCAGAAAACAAACTTGCTCCTTTCTTCTACATGGAATCCCATCAGATGTTTAAAGATGGCTATCACATCACCTCTTGGTCTTCTCTTCTCCACTCAGTTGTTGCACATAAGGTGGCTATATCTTCAACAAGATAGCAGCATAGTATAATGCAGGGGTAGGCAACCTGAGGCCCGGGGGCCGGATGCGCTCCCTGAGGCCTTTGGACTGGCCCTAGGCTGCTCCTGCCACCGCCGCCCACCATGATGATATTGATTATTGTTATTACTTGTTCTTGGGGTTTTCTTGGCAAAATCTCCACAGGGGTTTTGCCATGGCTTTTCTGGAGCTGAGAAGTGTGCATGCATATTTTTAATTTTTTAATGTTTTTTTAAAAAAATATTTATTTATTTATTTTTGTGCTTTGGCCCCCCAATTGTCTGAGGAACAGCAACCCGGCCCCCGGCTCAAAAAGGTTGCCTATCCCTGGTATAATGATTTGAATCCTGCATTATGACTCTGGAGACCAGGGTTCTAATCCCCACTCAGCCATGAAAACCCACTGGGAGACCTTGGGCAAGTCACATTCTCCCAACCTCAAAGGAAGACAAAGGCAAACCACTCTGAAAAAAACCTTGCCAGGAAACCCAATGCTAGAGTGGCCTTAGAGTTGTCATGAATCAGAAATGACTTGAAGGCACACAACAATAACAACATCATCTCCTGTAGCATATTTAACTTAGTGGTTAAACCAGTTGTGCCTTCTCTTCTCTCCTCTCAAGGAGTGAACCTCTGAATTTATTAAAATTACATTAATATAATGAAAACCAGAGTGGGAAATAGGGCTGTAGCACCCCCCTGTCCCAAATAGATTTAGTTTATGGTGTGTGTGTGTGTGTGTGTGTGTGTGTGTGTGTGTGTGTTTGTATATTGTAAAATGCATAGATTTCTGGAGCCGGCTTTTGAGAATCAGAATGAAACAAACAATTGTATGCAGTTGCCTTGCTGTTCCTCAAAGGTTAATAAATAGTATGCAAATCCTCTTAAGCTTCTCTGTTTACAGCAAGGCTTAGCAGTCGGTGCATCTTTTTACCTTTTTAACTCAGTCACCTTTTTTGCAACAACCATTGGAGTCATTTGTTCCATTGCTGGAAGTAGACTGGCTCCCGCACCCACTTTTTTTCCCGGTGTGATTCTGACAAGGAACAAACAAACAACCAGAACCCACGCCCCCAAATAACCTCCATGATCATCTTTCTTTTTATACAAATGATGTGGCAGAGCAGCAGGACTTGAATGGGGAGAGACCTAATGAATGATTAATAAGGAGGAGGCAAGGCTAGTTCAACAGAGTAAATGCTCAGTAACAGCTCATTTAATCATGGGCAGAACAGCTGCAATCGCCACATTAGCATCCGCAGAGACTGAAACAATGCCATGTGGTGCCCCATCCAATAGATAATCTTCCTGCTCGATACAGGCTGGGGACTTTCATCTTGGAGAAGCAGTGAATTCACTGTGAGTTTTAGGAAAGATGCTATCCATGGTGCTGAAGAAAGGAGCTCTCGCCAACAGAGGTTCAGTACATTATCCAATGTCAGAACATGTAGATCTGCTGAGATAACTCTTGCTTATGCTAACATAAATCTGTAAGAGTTTTCTACCCCCACCAACTTTCCCAAAGAATATGGACTGGTATTTATGAAGGTGAGAGCCAGCGTGGTGTAGTGGTTTCAGCACTGGACTACAACTCTGGAGATCAGGTTTTGATTCCCTGCCATGGAAACCCACTAGATGAACTTGGATGAATCACACACTCTCCATCTCAGAAAACTCTGTTTTAGGTTTTCTTTAGGGTCATCATAAGTCAGAAATGGCCTAAAGGCATACAATAACAACAAATTCACAAAGGCAATTACAAATGCATAACCCAGAGTTCCACATCCATGATTGATTTGTATTTATGATCCCTAAATATTTCATAGTTTAGGTGATACCCAAAGATCAAGGATAGTCTCTCAGTCCTCACTTACTGAGCAGCAGCTGCTGTGAGAGACAGGAGTCTTTTCTCCTAATGATCAGGAATTGGCTGACTTGCATTCCCCCCACCCTTGCATAAGGGATCTCTGGTGTAAGCAGGAATTGTGACAGGAATTTTATATCTGGCTATTGTATTAGAGATTGGTTATTGAAGAGGGTGTATATTTTCAGCTTGCCTGGGAGCAGGCCTTTTGTATAGCTATTGGGGCTTAACTACCCATTTAGAACCAAACTATCTCTCAAATTAATTTGCATTATAGTGAGGATTGCTCCTAACAGTAATGTTTCTAGGAACCCCCATCCCCATGAGGACTGGACTTAAGTTCAAAGGGAAGAAAGAAGTCTGAGGGAGCTGCAGATGAAGTCATCTTCTTTGCTATCAAAAAGTGATGACATTTTGAACCTATGAATTCTGACTGCTGTATGTCTGCCATAAGTGGGAAATGCTTTTTTTTTCACCAGATGCACAGACAATCATACAGAATTGTCCCTCTTCTGGCTGGCGTATAATCACTTCCAAACTCTGGTGCATATTTCATCCAAACACAGAGAGCATTCTCTTATCAGGAAAGAAAAATACCTCCTAACCATTAGCTTTCCTTGATGAAATAACCACAGAACATTCTTTAACCAACCATCTGCTTAACAAAAAAGAATAATCTCCTAGCAGCACTAATAAAAACATTGGGTTAGCTGTGTTACTAGGCCTCAGTTCCCTAGGAAAAGCAATAAGAAAAGGACTCTCTTGTTTAAAGGATGTGGTAACACAGGTCCTTTCTTCTGCCCAGCATGCTGCCTGTTTTCTGAGAACGTAGATGGAGAGACTGGAGAAACTGTGGTCATTTTCTTTCTGCCAGCCACTAATCACTTGATAGCCCTGCTGCAAATAACAGAAGCAAATGTTAAGGAAAAGGAAAGTAGCTTCAGCTTAGATGAGAGCAGAGGTTGACTTTTGCTGATCACCCACAACTATGGCCTTTGGTCTGATGCAATAGGACCCTTCTTGGCTGAGATCCTAGATCAGGGGTAGGCAACCTTTCCCCTTTAAGGGCCGAGGGACTTCAGCTCCCAGAAGCCTCAGCCATGTTGGCCAATAGTCCCATGTTGGTCAATAGCTCCAGGGATTCTGGGAGCTGAAGTCCCTTGGCCCTTAAAGGGGACAGGTTGCCTACCCCTGTCCTAGATAGTACGCATGGAGTGTACCTGCTCTGCATGTGTAATGCTGTACCTCCTTGACCCCAACCAGCTGCCATGTCCTGAGAGGTTGTGAAGGGGAAATCTGCCTAGTTTTTCAGTTCAAGGATGGAGGTATCATGAATTGAAGATGGCTGCTCATTTAAGTCAGAGTACTGGTCCAGATAACAGCACTGGATCTGATCAATCTAGCAACAAAGAAAATATATATGTTACCATTTATAGCAGTTTTGGAAAATCTTGCTATATGCTAGCAACATCATAGCTGGATTGCTATATGCTAGCAATCTATATGCTAGATTGCTATCTAGCATATAAAAAAAAAAAAAAACCATAGGAGGATTCTGGAGATACAGTGGGCCCTTGGTATCCACTGAAGTTGGGTTCCAGGACCACCCTGTGAATACAAAAACCCATGGATGCTCAAGTCCTATTAAATACAATGGCATAGTAAAATGGTGTCTTTTATATAAAATGGCAAAATCAAGGTTTGCTTTTTGGAATGTATACTTTTTTGGGGGAATATTTTCCAGCTGGATGGTTGAATCCAAGGATAAAGAATCTGTGGATACGGACAGCTAACTGTACACTAAGCAATCATGAAACTGCAGCCATTAAGCCACTACTAAGCCAGCACCACATATTGAACCTTTTTCTTACTTTTCAGATTGTTATTGTTATCTGGAAGCACCTATAATTTGATGGTAGTATCTGAATAGTCTAGTAATGCTGACTCTGCTTTTCACCACTGTACTTCATAAAAGAATGAAGCAGAAGAACAATAGCTCACTCCTCTCCCTCTCTAGCAAAGTGGAAAGAGAGGTAGTCCCCACTGCAGAGTCATTTCTTTCTCTCCTCCCTCTCCTTCCTTTCTTTAAAAATGTATCATAGGTTAAAAATGTGTTATTTTGGTGATTTCTTCCCTAATAATGTAGTATTTCTAAAAGCCAGAAAATTTGCCTTTAAAAAAATATCTAAAGATTATTTTAAAATCATATATAGGAGAATGTATGTGTGTGTGTATGCATGTGTGTATATATATATATATTCCATCATCTCTTTAACCCCCAAGCATCATGATCCTAACAGTTGTTCATTATCTACATATTGATTATCTACATATCTATAATTGATTATTTGTGAAAAGTAAGTCTGAGGAAATGCTAAAGAAATAGGTGGGCTTTTTTAAACATGTGGAAGATTTTAGGAATGATATAAATGGCTTTTTAATAAATAAATAAATAAATTTGTTACAGTGCCAATTAGAAAAATGCAAACAAATCAAACACAAGGAGCAGGAGCAGGAAACATGCAAACCAAATTGCAGCCAGAATTCCATAACACTGATCCATGGTGGTTAAAGTGGTATCAAATTGGATTATTTCTGGAGTGCAGATGCAGCTGTGGGGCCTTATAAGGACTATGGATGTACTTAGAAGCCATACTTCCCACACTTCTACTGTAGATAATGTTGAGCAAGTTAGCCCAATGGTCTGACTCACTATACACCAACTTCCTCCATTCCAGGGGGACACATTTGCAGTCAGTAGTAGAGAGCATTATGCCACTCGGTCAAAATTATAGGATGGTTACCATCAGCTATTATTACATATGGAGAGATCTTAATATACATTCTCCATGAATAGCTCCAGGTTTCTGAGCTTTAATCAAGTTCTTGAATCCTTCCTTATCCTATTTTTTTAATATGTGGTTTCAGTTACATTGCCTTCTGACAAATCTAGCAGCATAGGATACAAACCTGGACCGTTCAGCGTTTCAATTTCTGCATCACTAGCAGATTTTAAAAATTAGTTTCTGCTTTCAGATTAATATAATTTAAAATAAAACTCTGGACTTGAAAATACAGAGAGCCTTGGACATTCATATCCCAACCTAATAACAATTTGATCATGGGGAGGGGTGGTGGTGGAATCCATCGGAGAGAAAAAGAGAGAAAATAAATCCCAAAATCAACTCTATGAATTTGCCAGAGACAAAAAGGGGAGAAATGGTTCAGAAAGGCTGGCATATTATTAGTGATATATTCAGACAGAAGTCCAGATATGTATGTTTTATGGAAGAATTCACTACCTCCTTCATTCAACACCTCTCCCTCCTTCAATGCTTTCCTTTCTTCATGGCTATTTAGTGGCCAGTGGAGAATGGGGGACATTCCCTGGGAGTTCATGCAATATATCTTTGCCATACTGCATCGGGCTCTAGGGATGATGATGATGATGATGATGATTATTATTATTATTATTATTATTTTCATTTATATCCCACCTTTCTCCCTGGAGGGACCCAAGGGAGCTCACAAATAAAACCTTTAAAATTACAATAAAATTCAAAACAGTTAAAATGACTATATACAATATAAAATCACATAAAATATACATAAGCTAAAAATAAACTAAAAACCAACCTGTGTTGTTGTTGTTGCTATTGTTGTTGTAATTATTATTTCCCCATTTTCTCTCCAAAATCGGGACTCAAACGGCTCACCATTTACAAGAACAATACAATTAAAAAACATTAAAAAGTGAGCATTAAAACAGAATTAAAACTATCACAGTATTAAAAGGAATCACACACACACACACACACACACACACACACACACAAATTTAAAAGATAAACGCTCTTAGAAACAGTAGTTAAAACATCACAGCACCCCCTTAGCCCATGTGTTAAAAACTTTCTGTTTTAAAAGCCTGTCTGAATAACAATGTTTTAGCCTGCCACTGTAAGGCCAACAAAGAGGGGGCTATTCTGATCTCCCTGGGAAAGGAGTTCCAGAGTCTAGGGCAGAGGTAGGCAACCTTTTGGGGCCAGGGGCCGGGTTGCTGTCCCTCAGACAATTGGGGGGGCCGAAGCACCAAAAATAAATAAATAAATAAAATAATTAAAAAAATAAAAATTTAACATATATGCATGCACACTCTCTCAGCCCCAGAAAAGCCATGGCAAAACCCCTGTGGAGATTTTGCCAAGAAAACCCCAAGAACAAGTAATAACAACAATAATCAATATCATCATGGCGGGGGGGTGGGAAGTAGTGGTGGCGGTGGCGGTGGCGGCAGGACCGGCCTGGGGCTGGTCCAAAGGCCTCGGGGAGGCGCATCCGGTCCCCGGGCCTTAAGTTGCCTACCCCTGGTCTAGGCGCAGCCACTAAGAAGGCCCTCTCTTGTGATGCTTGCAATGGTGGTGGGACAGAGAGAAGGGCCTGCCCTGATGATCCAGAATCCAGGCTGGCTCATATAGGGAGATACAATTTCTCTGCACACCCAAGTCATGGGATCTAGAGTTTGGAAAGGGACTTAGAATTCTCTAGTGCACTCTTCCGAACTAGAGTTCTCTGGAAGAGAAATGCAGATTCTATAGGATGGAGGCATGGCAGTTAAAAAGTGTATAACCAGGATGATGAGGAGTGGTGGAGGAAACCCATTTCTACAAGGAACAGTCAAAAGCTTCAGTATGACTACATAGCCCACTTTTTCAGAGCTCGAGATTTGATAGTGGCTGTTAGGTTTTTGTTGGTGTTTTGTTTA